TGCTGGATGCAGCATCCACGTGGTGCCTCTGGAAGGGGGAGCAGCCACGGGACTCTCAGATCACAGGGCGTCCCCTGGAAGTGGGAATAGCTCAGTGTGGTCCCTCGTGCCCGTGGGAGGTGTGGGCACAGCGGGCACGGGGCTGTGGCGTCGCCGGCGCGTGTTTGGGAGCTGAGTTCACTGGAACAGAGCAGTGAAACACTCCTTCCAAAGAGCTCTTTTTTTAGCTGAGGAGATAAGAACCTGACTGTGCAGCCAAAGAGTTGCCCCAAGTAATCACAAAATCCAGTTGGCTCCAGCAGTCGCCGGCAAGGGGCCAGAGCTGCTCTGCCCTGGTGCCACGAGGCTCGGCCGCGCTGGGCAGCCCCAGAACAAGGCCCTTTGTCTCCAGGAACTGCTCTGGAAATCCATCCTCAGCAGCTCACCCTCTCCCTTCCCTCTCCCCTCAGCAACCAGTCTGTCAGGGCAGTTCTCAGCCTGCTGCAAACGCAGCTTTTCATGGCCAAAACACGAATTATTCACAGCGTGATCGAGCCCCTACGCAAAACTAAATCGTTTCTCCTGTTCGGTGCCCTCTTCCCGGCTGGAATTCCCAAACCTGATACCCACAGCAACATCTGCTGGTGGAACAACACAAGTACACAACTTAGCCGTGCTGAAACCTTCAGCCATGCAGCACTTTTCCCAAACCTGTGACTAAATTCCCTCTATTTCTTTTATTACTACCACTGAGTGACAGTGCACAATGTCAGCACAGAAATACTAATGTCAAGTCTTAAAAGAATATAAGAAATAATAAAGAATGCACACATTTGAGTGCTTAACATCTCCATAATAATCTTCTTTTAATAGCAGTAATTAGCAATAACTGCCTAATTATTACCCTTACTTGAAGCAAAACAGTGAATTTACTACTGCAGTAGCACTGTGCTACAACTAATACTGGGAACTTTATTACTTCAATTAAATTGGATTTCCTTTTATAGAATAATGAATATTTTTGGCTTTTTAAACTGCAAAAATAAAAATGTAAGGAGATTAGCAACGATATTCCATATAAAGCTAACAATGTAGGCAAAATTAAAGAACCACCACAAAGCTTTTCTATCTTACATCTGACTATTTTGCCACAGAATGGGATTAATTTCATCCCCATTTCTATTCTGGAGGCTTGCCAGGAACACTAATAGAAAGGATAAGAGCTCCAGAACTAGTGCCTCGTATCATGGCTGATAATTTGAAGTCCATTAGTCAGGAATATTAACAAGTACAGCTGGATTTCCTGCCCTGGGGGTCACCCAATCCATAATGAAACCTCCACAGTCAACAGGGTTCAGCAAATTCCCATATTCCTTGATAATCTGCTGTTAGTTTGTGTCTAACGTGTTTTATCACATTTATAGGTATTTCCATATTTCTTCTTTACACAAACGTGCCTCATATTTTTATGTATAATGTGTTTGCTAATGGCTGGACTTGATCTTCGAGGCTTTTTCCGACCAGAAGGATTCCAGATTTTAGGGATTCCAGATTTTTAAGGATCCCACGCACACCTAACACATCCTGACCCCCAAAATGTCCACGTTCCTACCTTGGAGGACGCTCCTGACGATGGTGTCCGTGTGCTCAGCCAGCAGATCCACTTTGGCAATGGCAGCCAAGGAGAGATAACTGGACATGTTCCTGCACAGCTCCTTGTTGCCCCTCTGGAGAAACTTCACTGCCACTGGAACAGCCAAGGCCATGACTGGGGGGCGGTTGTAATTCTGGGAAACCAGGAAAAAGCAGTGAAAAAGAAGCAGCTGAAAAAAAAAATACATTGATATAAAGTCTCGTGCTGAGCAGAGGAGGGAAAAAAGAGAAAAAAACCCCAAACATGTCAAGGAAGGTTGTGTTCTGGTAGCACCACTGAAGGAAGATGTAAGAAAGAGCAAATGAAGAAATTTAAAATTACTGCACTGGGAAATGTTCATAATGCACCTTTTTTTGTCTTCTGCAAGAAGAGGAGCAAACCTGATATGAAGTGCACTAATTAAATGTTAACTGCTGTACACTTCTAATGAGACATTTTGGGACTGGTGTTCTCTGAGAAGACACCAGGAGCTGTATCCATCCTCCACACAGAGCAGGGAATTTTCATCCCAAAGCATGGGAAACACCTTGGAGCAGTCACTGCCAGTAAGTGCACTGGGACACCTGCTCACAGTGCAATAGCTTTGGTTTTGGTCATTAATTATCCTGTCATATGCAAGATTTCCATTTTTTTTTAAATTCATTGAATTCCAGGATAGTTTGGGTGGGAAGGGACCTTAAAGCCCATCCAGTCCCACCCCCTGCCACAGGCAGGGACACCTTCCACTAGCCCAGGTTGCTCCAAGTCCTGTCCAAGCTGTCCTTGGACACTTCCAGGGATCCAGGGGCAGCCACAGTTTCTCTGGGCAACCCCAATTTCTCTGAACACCAGGGACAACTGATGTTTTTCAGGAGTACAAACTTCCATTTCCAAAACAGCACCAAGCCTCAGGAATCTCAGGGCACCTGCACACACACTTGGGTTTTGACATTCAGGTCAGAAAAGGTTTTCTGCTACT